AGCTCTGCTTCATGGAGGCGGTCTGTGAGGCAGTCCCGTAGTCTTTGGAATGTCTCTGGGTAATGGGTGCTTCGAACACTTCCTCGTCTCAAACGATGTCATTGGCCTCGCCTTCTGTTGTGGATAAAAGCACAACTTTGCGGTCAGGTGGTGGAAGTAGTTCACTATAGTCCTGAGCTGCCTGGGTCCAACGAAAGGAGTCATCCATCATGTGAAACGGTGGAGGAACGAATGCAGTGGGTTGAGTCCGTACAGCTCCGGCGAGGATGAAAGATGAGAGAAGATCAAGGAGAGGTTGAATCAGATTGTCGAAGAGCAATATGGAGAATTCAGAGGCATTCTGTACCTCGGAGTCGTTTTTAGCGTTACAAGCCATGGAGATGGCCTGGGCAACCTGGCAGTATTCGACCCACATGCAAACCATGAAACGCTTTTTTCTGAAGCTTATTGTAACATGGTTTGTTTGGCATACAGTTCGGTCTCAGACGTGTGTGAAATATAGCAATATAGTAATAGTAATACGCGAGAGAACCAGGCAGGTTTTAAACCTGGTCGAGGTTGTATCGACCACATCTTCACTCTTCATCAAATTCTCAAACAGACACTCCTTTCGTAGACCCACCATTTCTATCTTCCTAGATCTGAAAGCGGCATTCAACTTAGTCGACCGCTCTAAACTTTGACGCTGCCTCGCTCTTAAGGGTTTACCCGAGAAGTTTATTTCAATCTTGCGATCTGTTTATACTAACAGCCGATGCCTATTCCGAGCTGACACCTTTTCGCCTGACTTCACTACAGAGGGTGGGGTTATTCTCCCTTTCGCTTTATATTCAACTTCATCATAAATTTAATTCCTAAAACAGCCCTATCCTCGTGCGAGAATAGCGGTATCTATTTTCTCCCAAACCGTAGACCGTTTGATCTATTTTATGCAGATGGCATTGTGCTGCTAAGTGAACATCCAGGTGAGTTACAAGCTTTTCTGGGTAGTTTGAGTACTAGTTTAGCCATGTTCGGTATGCGTTTTGCACCTTCAAAGTGTAAAATTTCGATACAAGACTGGGTTGGTCCAGTCCCCAACCTCTAACTAGGGACACGATAGACTGTTGCCGGCGATCCAGTCGATAAGAGAGAACTCCGCCATGTTACTGAGTGCCATACCTACCCCGCGCTGATCTAGTGAACGAGCTACATGGTCACCTGATGTGCGAAGAACGCACCCCGAGGACAAATCTGGCGCGCTCAAGTGGCTTATAGTAGTAGGATTCCGGATTCGAGTTTCCGACACGCAGCAAATATCGATCCTTGAGGATTCCATTGAACAAGCCAGACAAGCTTGTTGGCCTACCTGCATCAAAGTCCTCACGTTGGAGGCCCCAAATTCAGTGATTGACGAGGCTTTAGAATCTGCAATTCACTTCGTGGTGCAATACTTCCAGTGCTATTTGGCGAGCGACATTNAAGTTACTTCAGCGAATATTAAAGGTTGGAAGGACGGGCAAATGGAGAGGGCTGGGTACTGAAGAATTAAACAAAGGTTGGGACATCTGAGCAGTAGCCGACTTGTCACTACCCATCCCGCTCGATGCAATGGGCAGCGCGGTTTTGACTATCCTGCGCGACGACCGATGCAGTATGGAGTTATTTTGATTTTGTGTGTGCACTGGGGTTTGATGGACGGGTACCGCTAGGGTGTCCAGTCACTAAGCAGGAGAACAATTAAGGTTCTCGTCCAAAGCCTTTAGTTCTGACAAGAACCTAACCGCAAGGCAGCGGGTTAAGCGAAGTGGAGGCGCATTTACTTGGATCGATTACTCTGAAATTTTTTACCGACTGAAACGCAAATTCCAGTCGAACCCCCAACCTGGAGGACCAGGAGAGTGGACTTCATCTGACCTCTATCCATTGAGCTTCCAGATATAATGAGATCTCCTGGCTTGACAAAAGTCATCCTGTGTAGCTCGTTGGGTCATAGAGGTGCACAAACCATCACACAACGTCAAGTACAGTCTCGTTGTGACAATCGTTTATGTACAGTGCGTCTCCAGGGTTCAATCAGCGTCCGGAAAATATCAGGTTGTTTTGTGTCGTAGCAGCTGGGGAGATTAAAATAAATGTTAATATCTCACAACATGTCCTCCATCTGTTTTGACGAATTGAATAAAAGGGGCTTAATTTTTCGTATATTTACTTCGCACCCGTCTGAGTTCAGACAGTCAAATCACGGTACAATACTCGTTATCACGAAGAATACGTTCCACGGTTTGTTAGTGGTCAGAATACTGCTAGGTTGCCCGGGCCAAAATAGGTTAACTTTCTGGGGGAGTTCACAATCGGAACATTTGAATAGCCAAAGCCTGACCAGGAAGTTGTGTTGTTCGTACCCCTCCTCTTGGTTGACTTGGTGGAATCAGGGTTTCTGATCAACCCCCCCCCCCTAGGTGAACTACCAGTGGTTCACCAACCCGGATGTCGGCTTTTCGTCCTCTCACTTTGGTGAGAAAACACTGCGTGAGAAGGCAGTGAGTAGGGCTTCCTCAGCAGAGGCTATTTGAGACGCTTGGTCTTATGGGAGCATTTCGCGAGGTGCAAAGGAAGAGTGACCGACTGCATTCCTAGACACCCATCCTCGACCATGCTGAGGATTGCGGAGGCACTTCACTTTACTTCATTGCGCCTGGCTCCTTGGAATGAATCAGCCGGCTCCAGGCGTGATTATGATCATGATGTTCTTTGAGAGTTTTGTGCGATAGATGTCTCCAGCGTCACGGCGTTTTTTGTTTTGAGAACTCACCTCTAACCTTTGCACAACGAAGTGCGAAGTGCATGGCAGCAGGAAGCAATCCGTCGTCTCATAAATGAGGGGATCAATGACTAGTTTTAAAAGGCCAGTCACATCGACCTTTGTCACGGCACCATCATTCGACGTATGCGGCTTTTAAACAGGAGCCAGGTAACCAGCCTTAAATCTACCACACCCTGGTACAGAATACAAAGAGGCCCGAGGTCTTTGGCGGTCCTTGTTTACATTGCGTATTGAAAGTAAATAGAAGAGGTCGCGTTTCCAATGATGAGGTTCGATTGCGCTGCTCGACAAGCTTTCCCAAATGCTACAACGGCGACTTCAGCGTTTTGGTCATACACTCCGAAAGCCTGACAACTCTCGCTTTAGACTAGCTTCTGCATCCTGCCGTAAGTGGCGGTACTGACTCGATGGGAGGCGGTTCGCTGTCGCTCGGTTCTATACAACGTCTGACCTAGCGGGGCCTTATATGGTTCGCCACTGCGAATCTCAGGGATTAGGTTGCCGGTTCCCATAACTGAACAGCAGGTCTTCGTGACTGTGGTCCACCCCGTGCAAAGGAAGAGTGACCGACCGCATTCCTAGACACCCATCCCCGCCCTTACGGATGCATTTGGCGGCGTTCTATTATCGCCTAACCCATTTGCTTCTCTCGGGCCTGCGATGGAATGTCCAGTATACTCTTGAGTGTTCATCTACTGATGCATTTCATTGCAATGCTGAATTAAATGAAGCAACCTAAGATTGGCTTTCGAAGTTCACGGCGATGTTCCGAGATTCTTCGTTGTTTAAAGATCTGGTCTAGCTTTTTTTCGGCGAAGACAACATTGGTTCAGGCGTGATTTTGTGTCCCGTTGAGTAACAGTGATTAAACATGATGCGCACCATTCATCGGTCGTGTACTGAGAATTCTAGACCATATGTTTGCCTTCAGATATCGCGGCACATTATGCATGTTTTCAAACTGATGTTCTTCATAGTCCGGAGATGGCAGGTACATTAATCACGGTATGGAGCCTAGAATGTAACTTTTGACTTAGTTTCAACGGACTCGCCCAATATGGAGTTGTGCACCTTAGTCCCCCTATCTAGTTGTCACGTGTATGCATGTTGCCGATGCATTTGTTCACTTTCTCCGTGATCCTGATTGTATGAACTCCACGATATGATGCTAGTCATTGTATTCTTAGTCCTGCAGTATTATCTTTCTCATATAAGTACTCGGAACCCAAGCACTAATTCCACTGGGTGATTATTCTAGCAGCTATACGCTTATATCCCCTGGTGTGGCGACTAATGGTTTGATAAAAAAGCGGACGTTTCCACGATCATGAGGGTGGTGTACAGTTGACTACCTTAATTAAACCTTTTTGCCAAAATACAAAAACACGCGTTTTCGATAAAACGCTGATTCCGGAAAAAATCAATTGCTTTCAGAAAAGTTTCACTCGAATCATTCATATGATGTGAAAAACGGTGTGTCAAATACGTCGGTCTGCAAAACAATTTTGAATGACAGCTATAGTTAGCTGACTGAGTACCGGCATAGTGATGTTACCTTATCACAAGTTTGTATTAATAATAACTTGGGATTTCGAACTGCTTGAGTTGCTCCTTTTTGGTACACATCTCTTGTATGCATATTGCAGCTCTAAATGCGCACTTTTCTAATGTTTTTCATGACTCACTAATCCTTTTTCATCAGTCCGGTTTATATGGAAATCTTGCAAATGGTCGTACCGCACACATCCACGGAAGATCTCGCCACATTTTTAACTCATCTGACCACCTACCTATCGGTGAGTGAGAGTGAGTTGTTTTTTCATCGCATGGTATGTCTCTTCCTGCCGTCAAATACACAGTTTTTCTACATTTTTATTACGCACATGTGTGTGATGAACAGTAGACGGAGTGGACCCCATAGTCACAGAGACTTGCTGTTCAGTGATGGAAACCAGTAACCCAAGCCCCGGAACTTAGAGTACCGAATCACATAAGGCCCCACTAGATTAGGTGGGATGTTCAACCGGACGACAGCAAAACTGTCTACCACCAAGGTTGTTTGGCGGTGGCGGTGCTCAAACCTCGGACCATAGGGTTCGCAGCACACCGATGACGGCAACTAAACCACGGCACCATCACACAAAATCCTGTTTCATCACTCTAGTTATAAGGGATGTTAGTGGTGAAGCGGTTTAGGTCGTGGTTGTTCCGTGTTTGAATCATGCCAATACCGCCCATTTTGCCGTCGTAAATCTCAGAACCATGCTTATCCTTTTTGGATTCCAATTCAATCCTCCAATTCTCAGGACTTCAACCAAAGATTTATAACCAAACAACGGATCCTTGTGACTATGGAGCTCACCAACAAAAACTTATCTAAGCATAGCGTATAATCACAGAGAATTCTTTTAAAGAAGCAAATTTACACGTGAACCTGAGGAATAGACATTTAAGGGAAGTCAAAGGTAGTCAAATAGGATGAAAAGTTACAGGGCGAAAGGGACATCATGTATGAATATTATTCTTTCTTTTCACCGGACACCCTGCAATGAAACGCGTTGTTCGTCTGTCATTGGAAATGCACGAAAGTCCTTGAGGAGTTTCATCCGGATCCCGTGGATTTCCGAAATCCTTTCCTCCAGGCAACATCACACGAATTTAAGTATGATGTTCGGGAAATCAAATTCTGATTGCACCCTCGAACCCAAGCTGTAGCGTCAGAAACTTTTAAATGCAGTGTTTGTCAAACAGTGTCTACCCTAGCACTCATCACTGCTACTCCGATTAGGATAGCGATCCGTCTTTTCACTATCTGGGATTACACATTGTTTCCCGAGACTCAGTTTATTTTTTTATTTTAACGGATGCATCTCTCACCATCTGCTTGTGCTCGATTGGTTGCCAATGAAGTTGTGGTTAGTTTTCATGTGAATCTAAATAGTGCCCGATTATTAATGTCTGTTTACTTCATTTGGAAGGATACTGTGGATTCAGTTTATGGGAAAATTAGAACTGAAGCCTTACACCTGGACTAAACTATTCAATGAAGTTGGTAAAACAAGAGTAAAACCAACCCCATGTACAGCAGCTCTGAGGCAGTATATTTTTATGAAACCTCCTGTGATAAACAGCGGAAGGGGTAACTACCATGGTGAAAAGCGGAATTGGCTTTCTAAACCTTGGGATTGAAACGGACTAAATATCGCCCCTCATAAAATGAAAAGATAATTGTCTTCAGGATCCAATGAGGATGCATTTCTATCAAGATGATTTACACATAGTTAGGGGTTCAAAGTGATGCAAATTTATCCAGTGAATTCAGGAACATAAATGAAAGATGGCAATTTTTCGGAACCGATTTTAGTCCTTGTATTTTTCAGACGGTGAATTAATTTTCATTCTTAGTTTGTTAAATGTTCGCTTGACTTTCGACAGACTTGTCTCAGTTTTTCATGTACTCTCATTTTCCTTCTAGCCGGTCAGTTGTCCTTCCCGAATTCTTATGAAACGCGCATATCGTCTGCTGGAGCTGATCTGCTCTGGAACTACTAATTCCACTCGAGAATACGTATCCACCAATTTGGATTCCATTCTTGTTATTATTCATGGATTAAATAACTCTATCGAGGCAACCCCGCCCGTCTTGAAAACGACACCAACCAACATCCCCGCAGATGCGATAACCAATCAACTGGCTAGCCTCTCATTTATTGGCGCTAGAAAATCAGGCCGGAAAAAGGCGCAGGGTCGCATACCCTGGAAACCCCGGTTGCGTTGTTTGTACCATCTATTGTGCCACCTGGTTTCACAGGAACAGAGTACACAAACGGATTCAGCTTTCCACAGCTCACGTCTCCGAAACTTTGCAAACATGTTCCTTCCTGAGGTAAGATCGTAAGCGAAATTCACTCTTTGCAAAAAACGCTTATTTCAAACTACTTTTGCATGCTATTAAATGTCAGCAATACGTGGTGGTCGTTACACCCCTTAATTGTAATCCTGACCAACTCTCACCGGTTAATTCACTCTCCTGCACACTCGTTCGTTTTAGATGCCGAACCCAGCCCAACCGAACACCTCAATCTTTTTCCCGATGGCTCCAGGGAATTTAAGTTTGCACAGATATTCCAATTTTTCTTGCTACTGAAGTGGTCACCTTTTCGATAAAAATGTTGCTTAACCGCGTGCACCACCTAAATACCTGTTTCCATTACTGGACAGCAGGTCTCTATGGCGATTGGGTCCACCCTGTTCGCCGTTCACCACACACGTGAGTAATGAAGAATAAGCCCCGTTTTCTAGTGTATACTTCTGCGAAAGTAACGGGTTTCACTGAGCCTATGGGAGTGAGGAGTAACGAGTAACGGCGATTTGGGTTCGAAGTTCCTTCAAAATATTGTAGAGGTAATTAACTTAAATAGTCCGTTGGTGTGTTCAGGATATTCGCAGTTGTATCATGACCCAGGTTTAATAGTTTGTTTCCACTGAAACCTGCAGCATACACGGACTAATCGATAGGTACTCAAATTCCGCTCTCACTGTCAAAGTTCATTGCAGGTCATTGAAAAATAATTTCAATACAAATTTATTTGTAGCGTGGGAATAGGATGTGTCACTGGAATGTGTATTTCAATCATATGTCAATTCGCACCACATGCTTGTTGTTGCACGTTGTTCTATTCAACGGCTGATTTCATTTCACACCTTAGTGTGATGGACAATAAAGCGAGTGAATCATGTGGACACGCGAACTTAATTTCACCCTATGGAAACCGGTAACCTCAATTCTTGAAACTGGTATTGTGGTGGTAAATCAATAAATTTTCTCAATTTTATCCAGCTTTTTAATTCATGCTTGCCCAAGGGATGACTTCCCCATTGCTGAATGGAGGATGTATACCTATAACCTATACCTATACCTATAAAGGGAATCTGGATTCCGCCCCGTAGTGTATACCTCAGCTATTCTGCATAGGTCCTCAAAAGGTTCATTCACCTGTCACTATCGATGGCCCCCAATCAACTTGCTTACCGTAGTTCTTGTTCCTAACTTGTGATTTCATATGAAAACTGTGTCAGATTATCTCCAATGTTGTCCCGCGAAATTCTTTCTGACGACTTCCGCCAAAATACAAATGAAAGACAATTCGAACGTTTATTACAAGCACCGGAAAATGCATTGAGTAATGGACAAGCCTTCAATATTTATAAGATTGTGCGCAGTCTAGATTTTACCTAAATACAAAACATGAGAGCACCGACGGCACGAATAGACCAATCAGATTGCAATACTGTGTCCGGTACCTTGGTTTTCACCAACCCTGTAACACTGCGAAAACACTGGCAATATTCCACGGTGGAGATTAGTCCAAATCTATTGTTCATTGATTCTGCCGCAATTTTCAGGGTAACTTAGGTTTTCCTGACGAAAACATAAATTTCTTATGTACACCGTAACTCAAATAGCTTAATAAAATTTTCGTTTTAGTACATTGTACTTTTTGATCCAATCTGAACTTCCCTCGTGATTTTTATTGCCACCAATTTTCCAATTTATCATCACAGATACTGGCTGCCGTTTGTGAGGTAAACCGAATAGTGCGCGATTTGGCCGGTCGTTTGCTCGTCAACTTGGTCATGGCATTTGCCGGTCAAACACCAGCATCGGCTAGTGCTCTTCCCGGCAGTTCGTCTACTGCAGCCGTTCTTGACACGAAAACAGTTCGCAGCCTTGGTTGTACAAACGATTCGGACGACAGTGATATGGAAACCCGAAGTCAAGCTGCTTCTCTGTTCGGTGGGTTCACATGCACGGACGAAGATGAGATTCGATCTACGATATCCATGCCTCGTGGTGGACCACAATCGCTACAAGTGAGTTTAAATAAACTTGGTTTCGGGTGTTTTTTTCACCCGAAATCACCACAGCCGAATAGTGTTCGTTCTTGCTAAATTTAGGTTCTTCACCAACTTTGTCGCGGACATCACTGCTGTGGGGGGGTTATTGACAGAACAAAATTCGAGTGTTAACTGGCAAAAGCTGAAAGTCTGCTGAAACAGTGGTTCAATCAAGAGATCGTGTGTGTTGGTGGGAAATCACCAGCATTTTTCTCCTTTTATTCTACTACTCCTAGTAATTGATGAGACCATCTTTCCTCAAGTGTTCTCTTTGCTGCTTTATATGTACCGAATTTTCTCGGTGTGTAATCCAATTCGGGGTCTTCGTTTTTTTCTAGGTCACCTGCTGTTATTGGTGTCCTCGTACAGTTACATAATCCCGTTTTCGGTACTCTTCTCACTTTTACGTTAAAATGAGTTGTTATAGCTACCCAAGGCTTATTCATCATCCCTACTAAGCCGAATTCTTAGGCCCTCTTACTCTTGCTGAATACGAAGTAGAATGCTTGAGTAATTCTAATTCATACGATTATCTGATTTGGATATCCTCAATATCGTCAGCCTGGCTGAACATGGAGTGCAAGAAAACGATAAATAGCACGATTGTGACCCCCTATCTGATAATTATCCCCAGATTGACAACGATGCGCTTACAGTCATCTACAAAGTGCCCCACGATCAGTCAAAATTCTTTTGGCAACGTCAGGAGCAGTCGCAAGCACAATCATGCACCCATTACTATGCAAACAGAAAAAAATGGTTTCCTTATTCCGATTGTTCACCCCCCACCTCAATCACATGGCGTGACACGTTTCGCGTTGGAAAGGTAGTCGAACGTGACCCTTTTCACTATCCCCTCTCCACGTGCTCCTCTAGAACTTGCTAGACAATGTTGTTTTGTCCATTTACTCTAATAAACCAATTGCGTTCGTTTTTATCTCCCATATAAACACAACTGTAAATCACCGAAGAGTTAGTTACCGAAGTAAGCTTGTTCGCTGTATTGTCTGATATCATCAAAAGGCTTTGTATATGCGTTTGCACTTACTCACTTACTCAGGGCCTGTACGTGACTTGATCTTATTCCATTTCACTGCATATTTATTGAACCAATTTTTAAGGGAATCTATGACGTACAAAACAAAGAAAACAGGCAACAGACCAACCTATATTGTGCGTAGAATCCATCACAGAAATTCGCATACAATACCCTCATTGTCACTGAGCTTTTAACTGAGCCCTGCTCACTCCAGATGTAACGCATCGCAAGCCATCCATTTCGACGGTTACTTGGGAGATTTTGTGGAATGCAGTCTGAACCTGATCACAAGGCAGTACTGGTGAGCAGCGTATCTAATACTACCCAGAATCACTTTATTTATTTTGAAAATTCTTTTTATTTTGGACAAAAACTGCAACGGTATTCGTATTCTCATTATTTTACTTCCTTTTATTGAATGCACAATGATGCAACCTACGGGAAGAGGGAAGCAATCAATCAAAGGACTACTCTATAACATAATGGGGAAAGTCCGGCGGTGGTGATCGAATTCGAACACATCCCCCCGGGGTGACGATTTGGTGACGTTACCACGGGGCCATCGCCGCTCTACTGTTGTATCTATCGTTTAACACTACAGTGCTCAGTCAATGTAGATTCAAATCGGAAAATCCAATCGAGCACTTGACTGGACGATCAAGGCTTCGTCTTTTCTCGACTGTCAACATAGCATGTAAAATAATATTTTTTATCACTGTTCTATTTTTGAAAATGTAATGCACAGCAAAAATTATTGGAATACCGCGGCAATCGAAGGAGAGCATGGATAACGAGATGCAACTTTCACAGATCGCAGCTTTATAAACATTCATGAGCACCGTGGAGGATTTGTTGAGGCTGTGTAATGGATTTCGTGGTATACATAGCATACAAGGTGTAAACTGAAGAGACAGGAATTGCGTAGTATGCTTATGTTCTACCCATAAGCACTCGGGTTCGATCCTCCGTTGAGTTGCTATTGAGGCCCCACCAATTCGAACTGTCTGTGCAGTGTTTCGTTAAATTTCAGTTCACTTTTTATTTGCTCCATACTTAATGAAATCCACTATGTGAATAGATATTCGCTGTCCATGTACATATAAACAGCATCCCATTTGTGTATGTGGCTGGTTATCCTTCCCTTGTATCTCGCGAAATACAAACAAGCATCTCCAATAGCCTCGGCTGGAAAAACCCTACTCACTGCCTTCTCGGGGTGGAGTTGTTTTCATACCGAAATGAGGGGAAGAAAAACAAACAAAACGGAATCGGCGAACCTGGTTGTAACTGTGGTCACCGACTCGATTGGACATCGAGGTGTATTGGGCAAGTCAGACTGAGGAGGTCGTGTGTTCGAATCCCACCACCACCGCCCGACTTTCACGATTGTGTGTTGTACGGCAGCCCTTTGATTGGCCGCTTCCCCCTTCCTGAAAATTGGAGCATCGTGTATTTAATAAAAGGAATTAAAAATTTAAGAAAATAAAATAAAAAGATTCTCTTTGATCTCAAAACACACTTGTTTGTCTGGCTTTGTGTTAGTTTTGGGTTTATGGGTTTGTACCTGTTTACTAGGAATATGAGGCATTGATTTTTTGAAGTGGCATTCCACAATCGGTGTTGAACAGAACTGAACCCTTCTTTGCGCCACAGCCACCGTACGAAACTTCACATAGCTGTTGCGGTCTTTGACTACGATTGGGTTTTTGGATTGTTTTGGTT